ACAATGAAGTTAGGTCCGGTTCAGTGGAGAGCACAGGCAGCCTGTGTTTGCAGACTCCATCTCCTGGACAGAACCGCAGACACTGCACGGCTGACAATGTTCTCATGGAAGCGTTGTTTTTAAATCCCTAAAACCAAAGCCACTGTGTGAGAACGCATGGTGCTGGATGGAGGGAGATCCCATACAGAAGTGTATGCATTCCATGCAGCTACCTGTCTTTTTTCTTTATCCATCTGATTCTTATCAACTCTCCCGTCTCAGTCCTCACCAGAGGAAGGACTCCGACAGCCAGTCAGACTGCTCTCCATCTCTGCTCAGATTGCTTGTGCAGCAAAACCATACAAACCATTAAGCCACAGCCTCCTACTCTAAAAAAAAAAAAGTGGTGTTTTCTGCCCACAGAAGCTGAATAAAAAGCAAAAACACTATTAAGGGGTACATACTTCTACACTTGAAGACAGCCACAGTGGTGAAAGCACTATGGTGTTTTAGAAGTCACAGTCATGGCACTAGTTTGCAGTCTCCACATTTGATGGTCATCCAGAAAATTGACATATTTCCCAGTCTGGAAACAACAGTTGAAGATCTTTACTCTGTTGTTGGGGTTTTTTTTTGCTTTGTTTTGTTTTGTTTTAAACCAGGTTCAGTATCGAGGTAGTATTTTTGTTCAAGTACTTGAACTACTGTGAAGTAGTTATATTTGTAATTCAGTCCAATCTCCTCATAGAAAATCCTGTTTTTCAGATGAGACAAACAGTAATGAAACAACAGGCACTGGAAGCACAAGTCTGAAAATAAGTCAGAAGCTAAAACAAGGAGCCTTATCCAAAAGGGACTCCTGTAAGCACTAGAGGACATATAAAAATGGCACAATAGTAATATCAGAATATTGAAATGCCCTATGTAGCCTATTCAAGAGCAAGTGAACCTGTATTTCCTTGATAAAACAACAAAATATAAAGTTAACTGCATTGCAAAAATGTCCCTTATTTCTTTAATGTACTAGTATATTGCTTAATGAAAGTTCTTAATTGTAATACAATTAATTACATACACAGAGTCCCCAATTACATTTTCCAATAAGACACTGGCTTTGGTACAGGTCTAAAGGCACTAAACCAATTTTAATATATTAAGACCAATTTCCCTTGAATACTAATTACTATCTAATGATAAAATGAGAAAGAGGAACTTTCCAGAAGTAAGATGGTAAGAATAAAACTAAATTAGCCATGAATAGTTTGCTACTACACATAAAAGCATTTTACATTACAGACTGCAGGCTTTTAGTTTAAAGATAAATCTTAGTGTGAGTTAAAAAGTTCTGCAGTTTATTAGTTTGAATGCTATTAGTAAATGTTGGATAGATAGGGGTTTTCTCCATACATATTTCTTAATAATGGAAAGTTTTCTATTTCATTTAATACTCTGAAATATAAACTTTCTATTTGCCCAAAGGAAACTGGCAGCTATTTTACTAGCAGATGTTTGGCATCATACATATATGTATTTATAAATGACTATGAGACTATGAAGAGCACATTTAAAAGTAATAGCTGTTATAACAGAGTTTTTCCTGACTGACATATCTAAGCTAAAAATATTTTAAATAAAAACAAAATGCACAAAATGAGTATTTCATTTTGATGTTAGGATTTTCAAGCTATTATTGTATTAATAGTGCAAAACTGTCAATATTTCTATTCTAATGCCACGCCAAAAGAGAGCTCCTCAAGCACTACAAAATCCAATTTCTTATTGTGTATTGGGGGAACCAGGCTACGTACAATGCATGAATTATGACTGATCTTATATACTGTATTGTCCTTGAACATCTGTGCGTGTAGACAGTTAACTGCATGGGTGTTTCACATATATCCCTGAGCAGGGACAATGGAAGATCACTTTAAATTCACCCACATTTTGGGGGAGAAACTGTAAGCAGAAGATTTCTCTGCATTCCTTATTCGAGTTAGGTATCAATTCAGAAAACATTTGGTAATAGCACAGCAGAAAAGAGACAGAGTTCATGTAAGCATTTATTATTTTGCCTAGATTACTGTCAGCCTTGAACACACTAAAACAGTGACTTGCTCTTGAACTCTACAGCGTCAAAGTGTCTGTTTTGCCGTCGCCTTTCCATGTCCCAGGTGCTGGCTGACAAACACAAGACACATGAATGGGACAAAAAGCCACCACCTACCAGTGTGATGCCATTGCAGCAGGGCAGGATGGCGGCTGCAGCAGCACCGGAGCACGGGGGCTCCGGGGGAGCCCTTGGGGTCCAGCCCAGGGCGTTCCCCGTTACCTTACGGGGAAATCACCGTCCCAGCGGGGGCCTCAGGTCACGCTCTTAGATGGGCACTGTCGATTTGCTTAAGGAGGGCCAGGAGAGCTCATGAATTAAGAGTACTTTTGACTGGACACCCTCAGGGATCTTATCCTACACCTTTCCACCGAAGGGCTTGCTTTTGTGTCCCCTCGCCTAGGAGGGAAGAGGAGCAGTCGCTGCACAAGGACTTCAGGGAAAGGGAGAAGTGCTCCCCCAACATTATGACTGGCATTTATTTTGAGACAAGGCCTCTGAGGCTCTCCTGGAGCATTTGCAGAGTAGTCGGAATGCTTCCTGCTAAACCACTTACAAACTTATGACAGATTTATTATTAAAGTAATGGTGCAACCTGAACCCAGTCACTCATGAGAGCTAAGAGCATCAGTAGATATAGCTACAAGCCACAGCATGGATTCCTCCACAGATGATGAAAATAAGTTAAAAATGCAATATATACAATATACTTTTAACTACAAAGCCTGGATTAAAAAAAAATGTTATTTTTAATCAAAATGTGCAAAACCTATGAAAGTATGACTAGTATGCATCTTTTCATAGATTAAAAAAATTGATACAAAAATAATAGCCGGGATGCAGACGTCAGGGAATTCTGGCTTGTGGAAGAGTGCAACTTGATTAGCGAGGTTAAAATTGCTCCATTTCCTCATGCACAGCACCCCTGCTACCTTCTGCCACATTCTCTCCTACGGTTTCTCCAGACCATTTTATGAAGAAATGAACCAGAAGCATCAAGAATATTTTGGGAGCAAGTCCCACTCTACAGAGAACGGCAGCCAAAACTGTGAGTGCTTAATCTCAGCTCCAGCACTGACGTACCACCAGAGAGCTCGTGGCAGCTGCCTCTCACCTCTGCTAGTCCTTAAATGGGAGTAGAGTCTGCTGCTCGCCACTGGAATTAGGAGGTACTTTGGGGATGCTCTGCTGTCATTCTGGGATAAAATACGAAATGCTATAGCCAAAAAGCATAAATGGAAAAGTCTAATCTTTGTAAAAGAAAGAAAAAAAACCTCTTCTACTACTTGAAACAGGCTCTTACTATGATTGTTTGCATCAAACACTCTGAGCACGGTCTTGGCTGAGAGCATGAATGCTACTGGTTTCCTCATTAGTACAATCAATATTTTTACAGCAGAATTAAAATGGAATGAAAAAAACCCCAAAACTGTTGGAAAGAATGAAGGACGGATCAAAATGCTATGGAGGACAAACACAAATTGATGTTAAATGTTTTGTTTTAAAGTTTCATATAATTCCTTTTAAAGAAATAAATCAGGAAATAATATTAGGACCATTAAAACAGTAATAGAATAAAAATATTTGAGCATAGCTGGAGAGAGGATTATTTGTCTAGCACTTTAAAAATCATCAAACTGCTCTGGTTATATCTGCATGGTTAATTTCTTTAAATTCTATTAGAAGAAAATCAGTGCCCCTGACAGCTGTATTGACATAGCAAAATATACTGCAGACCAATCACTTTATTCACTAAGCAATGACTGCAACAGAAGAAGTTTCATATTTCCAGTGTTTTTCAGGGTTGGTCATAACTTTACAGAGCAGAGTTTAACAGAAAAAGATCAATCATGAAGTGATAAACAGGATGCAGACTATTTACTAGAAGGTATGAAATCCATCAACTCCCTCTGGAATATTGTTTTGGCACAACTGAGAAGTGCCTCAGGAAAGAGAGTCTTGTCAAAACTTACTTGCCCAGACCATACAGCTTGTATTCCAAAATACATAACTTATGTGAGTTTAAGCAATTTACAAGAGCAAAAGTGAAAAGGGGAAACATACTGTTCTCCCGGACAAGGCAGAATTCCAAAGTGCTCTGGCTCTCCAAGGTACAGTCTAAATCTACTGGGACATTAGGTTCACTCTGCTTCTCCAGCCGATACTGAGGACCTGAAACATAAAGTAACTTGTAAAATCATCTGTTTTCTAACAGTGATGGCTTATCACGTTCAACTAACATGAGATTACTCGTAGCCTAGAAGCAAGGCAGGTAGATGTTTACGTTTCAAAGCTCTTTGCCAAAGGGAAGGGCCCTATCACAAAACGGGGGAGGATGGTGTGCAAGGAAACAACATACTCCAGTCATCTTCAGCTGTCTAACAACGCGACCTGACAAACTCCTCTCCAACATTCCTGTATTATTCCTACACCAGATGAGCCTCTATTAAATACCCTGCCCATGCTGCAAGACAGGGGTGTCGCCTGTTGTAAGAAATACCTACTCAGACCTTGGTGTGTATCTATGTTGTTTTATTTGGGCATCTTTCCTGATGTGAAAAAGCACGATGTGTTTGCTCCCCCTTGCTCTGCCCTCTCTGCTGGCTCTTCATAGACTGAAGACAGGCTGCTGTGAAGGTTACCCCGGCTGCTGTTTGCTGGGGGACGGAGCCCTGCTCCGCGCTGCCCGGGGCTGTGGCACACCGCAGTCCAGCCCCACTGGCCCAGACAGGAGCGACCCTGCGTGCCCGAGCACGTTACTCTTCCAGCTTGGGATTAAAGCCTGCTTCTTGAGCGCGGGCTCAACCAAACGTACAGTCGCACCCTCCGCAGGTGTGGAAAGCCAAGAAAAGCCCGGCTGCACAGGTAAGGCTGTCGCAGCCTCGGCGGTGTCTGCACGGAGCACTGAGAAATATCTGGGAAGGAAAGCAGCCCTTCTTCTATGAATTGCGTTTTGTCATGAAAATCAGCTCCCTGACACCTGATTTGGCTATTTCTACCTCTGCCAACGGTGCATTTCTCATAAGGCTGCACTTCTGAAGCGCGGGTAAGGATTTCCTTACCCATCAGCAGCGATCAGCACTGCTTTCCAGACTCGAGACAACGTGCCAGGTGGAGTTTGGCATCACCCAGCAGCTCAACGGCTGCAAGGAGCAGAAAGGGTCATAGAGAGATGGATTTTATCTTTTTCCAGAGATCTGTACACTGTTAACATTGAACTGAATCAAACATAAGTATGTACAGATGCTGTTGCTTCAAATGAATTATTTTCATATACATTGCATTTAACTGTAAGTCTTCAAGATTCAGGTGCCAACTTCCTTCTTCTCAAACCAAATCAAGGAAAGATGATATCACTTAAAAAACTGTTTTCCAACTACAGAAAATGTATTTTAAAATTGCTTTTACAAAAATTAGGCTTTTTTTTTTTAAAAAAAATCTTTTAGTTGAATGGATCCTTAAACTATATGCCTTAACTGGAATAAAAAAAGAAAAGACTAATACAATTCCAGGTGAAACCTCTGTAAGTCAGCTCCAGGCCTGCTGTCTGAACAGCAGGTGGGAGAGGACCCGACGGGGTGAAAGGTGTGACTCGGGTAAGCCAAACTCCACGTGGGACCCCGGGCAGAAGAAAACCACACTTCCAAAGGCAGGAGCTGGTGGAGGCAGACGCGCTCCCGCCCTCGCCGCACCCCCAAGCAGCGCAGGGCGGATCTCCTCTCCCGCTCCCGAGAGCTGAAGTGCACACAAAGTTCTCAGATAGGTCATTTCTATATAATCCCGTAAAATAACACTAAACAGATACCTGAAAAAATTTAAGTGATGCAAAGCACCTTTAACCAGGTCTTAAGGTAACAAAAAAACTAGAACTGAAATAACGAAATCTATTCCCTCTTTATCAGTACTTAAAATATTTCTCAATATTTCCTGACTTTGATTTATGATAGTATATGATGAAATATTTAAAACATGTAAAAAAATTAAGTATTTTAGCCTCAGATGGCATGCCTAAGAAATGGAATTTGTTCGCCAATTAATTTTAAATTTACTACAGCAGAATTTCAATTACGGCTTCTCATTTCTTCTCCCCAGAAGCCATGTGAAGTGTTCACCACACAGCCCGAGCGCATTCTGCTCCTGAAGTGGAACATCATTTCTCCGTAAAATGGAGCCCCCTTATTCCAGACTCCCAGAGCAGATACAGAGCCAGGCTATTTGCAGGCCACGGGAGGAAAGCACAACTGCTCCCTCCCTGCCCAGCGCAATCAGCAACTGCACGTGTAGCTGGTCAAAGCATTTACAAAACAAACTCAAGAAACAGCAGAGACATCTCATATGAGCACAAGCAACAGAAAGGCAAATATATACAGCACCATCGTTTCTGCTCTCCCAGCTACTCGAAATGTGATTAAAAATTTAAAATAAATTAAATAAACAGAGGCCTGGCTTGCTAGGCAGAAGCAAAATATACTGAATTGAAACAAATATCAAAGTGGTAAACCCATTTGTATTTAAAAACTGGTGTAGGTTTAAAAACAGAATCAGTGACAGCAAAACCTGCTTGCTTTGTCCGTTTGTAAGAAGTACCTTCCAGAGGTTCCCAAACTACATCCCAACACTGAACGATACCCAGCAATGACAAAGCCAGCAGAACTGTTGGTTCCCATCTGAATGTCTGTGTTCTTGGCACCAAATCCCCAGCTCCAAGTGCTCCTACCACAGACGGAGGCT